TCCAATCACTATACCATTTCAGCTCCTTCTTTCAATGCCAGTAATGTCATATATTTTGGTCCATCAACTGTAACACTATCATCAGCTGGTCCCCAACTGTTACTGTAAATATCAATATTGTTACGATAATAACTGAGAGCAGATGAATCAATTAAATCTGTTGTAGCTCCCCCCAATAAACGAAGACCTGTTATAATTAATAGGCAATGAATGGATAAAGTATGATTCCCCTTACCTGCCATAGAGGCATCATAAGCTACACCCACTCCACAAACATTATTATCACGGGCCATGACAATTTCACCAGCACAAGCAGTTCCATGGGAATCTGTTCCAACAGGAGATGGGTCACTATCATTATAGTTAAAATCATAACTGTATGTTGATACCTACAAGTACAGAAAAGAGGGACAGAGAGAAAATCTAGAATATAAAAATGATATGCTACAGTCATTTATAAAACAATTAATCATATCACAAATACACTTACATAGTTATTCCTTAGGTCTGTATGAGTATGCTCCACTCCTACACAAAAATGACTTACCAGAACAATTACATCATCTTACCATCATCCACGACACCAACTAATATTCCATTGCCAGTATATCCTTGTATCCATGCTGGTTCTGCATTCAGATCAAGGTAAAGGTTTGGTTCCCTGGTTTGACCAGTATTGTTCTACAATATAATATAATAAACAATAAGACCACTCCAAAAGATTCATAGCTTCCCATTATCCCTCCTGAATTGTACCCATCACTAATTCACTATTCATTATTGCACAGGAAATAATGAATAAATTTAATGAAAATCAACAACCACCCAGACATGGAGTGGCCTATAAACTTAAATTATGTACCATTTAGTTATACTTACAACTGTCCACTGTCTACCCCATAGTGGATCTCCCTGACTTGTTGGCTGAAAATATTTCTTTTCCCAGTTGTGTAAACTCTGCTGTTGCACATAACCTACCTGTATCATAAAAGATTACATTATAAACACATTTGGATACTGGATACCAATAAAAAATCACTTTTTGATGAAGAGAAAGGAATCAGAAAAGAAAGAGAGAATAAGAGAAAGGATTGAAATAAAAGAAAGATGTGCAGTATCAGTCCTTAATAGTAATGAGCACAATAAAAGTACTTGCATTATGCATGAGTTATAAGATATCAGGTGTTTTTTATGTGTTAAATATAAAATGTAAGTTTAATTTGAAATAATGGTATTTCTGAACCAGGCTGAGCTGGCCCTGCTGTACTAACCATGCTGGCCTGGTTTGGCCCAGCTCACTTCAGCTCAGTTTGCTTACTGGTTACACTATCAAATGAAACTGTGCTGGCTCACTTTAAACAGGGCTGGCTCAGTTAAAGAAGCTAGTGTAAACACAGTATAATTCCACCAAGCAATTCACCTGGTATACTTTCAAAGTGTGATTGTAATGTAGCAGAAGCATTTCTGCAGATACTATTCTTCAGACTTTTTGTTTCATCCTTCTATCCAAAGGTAATCTTTTAAGCCAAAAAAGTGAGATAAGGCTTGATTTAAGACCAAGATCTACTGTTGTCTCTTCATGTGTACCTAAACTATGGTAAACAAGTTACATTTTGCATTACATATTTATCATGGAAAACACAACTAAACATCATTAAACAAAACTAAACACCAGTAAACACCAGTATACACTGGTAAACACAACTAAACACCAGTATACACAACTAAACACAACTAAACACCAGTAAACACCAGTAAACACTGGTAAACACAACTAAACACCAGTAAACACCAGTATACACTGGTAAACACAACTAAACACCAGTAAACACCAGTAA